GCTGAAACTAGTTATTTCAGAGGCACGGTGGGGAAGCCCTACACAAAGTCGCACAGCATCTTCTGTGAGTCACCTGTCTCTTTGGTATTCTTTGTTATTTGACAGTCTACTAGTCCCTTTTAGGTCTCTTAAATTTAGCCCCCCTCCCCCTCCCCCTCCCCTCCCCCGCTTCTCCACGTCTCCCTCCTCCTCCTTTGGAACAAATGCTTCCCTGCACCCCCACCCACACCAAAGCCAGCTGCGGGGTACTGGGCAACCAGGTACTCAGCGCCCTGCCTGCCAAGCTGACCTGACGCTCTCGCGTGGGATCGTCTCCTCAGTGTTTGCTGTCCTTTTGCCCCTATTTGCCCTTTCAGGCTGCAGGGGAAGGAGACTTGCTCCTGCCCTCACCTGCGCAGAGGCTCCAGGGTGCTGCCTTCCCGGGGCTCCCCTCGAGCGGTGTAGATGACCCTGAAGTTGGACCCCGCGGTGTCCCTCCGGGGCATCTCCTCTCTGCCCCACAGCCCTTCCTCGCCAGCGCCGGCTCCTTCTGGCAGGGGCGGCCCCGGGGGAGGCGCCACTAGGCCCCGCGTGGCCTGGGGGCCCATCAACATCCTTAGCTCAGAGCCCACAGGGTGGGTGTTTGAGGGTGGCCAGAAGACAGGGCTGACGCCAGAGCCCCCGACTATACCTTTTTCAGCCTCTGCTGTGTTGGGGTCTCTGTCTGAGGCTCGGGTACGCCTCGTGCTGCCTGTGGTGGCTCTCCGCTTGTGTCGCCGGTGCCTCCCTGAGCTGATTTTGGTTTGGTTGGTGGAGTCCCTTCCAGCTGGTGGATGCTGAGGGGGCTGGCGCTGGGCCTGGGCCTGGCTGCCCTGCCCCTGTGCCCCAGTCAAGGCCCCCACTGTTTCTGTGGACTGCCCCTTCCCCTCGTTAAAATATTTGTGTTGCCTGCTAGGGGAGGGGGTGCCTGGATATCTTGAGCCTATGCTTCCTAGGGCTTGGGGTGGCTCACGGCCCCAGCCCACGTCTCGTTTCCCAACTCTTCTGCTGCAGGCTGAGGCTCCTGCTTTGCCGGGGGTTGGTCCTCGGCCCTAGGACACGCTGCCTGGCTGTGGCCTTCCTCCCCAGTCCCGCAGCTGCACGGCACCTGCCTGCGCTTCAGAGACAGGGTAGCGCCTTCCTGGACGGTCTGAGTGCTGCTGTCACGGAACAGCCCTGCCCGCACCATGACCGGAGGGACTGGGCCACTGGTTTCTGCCACTACCTGGGTGCCAGAGGCCCTGTGGCCCCCTCCTACCTGCCTCTGCTTTCCCCTGGTCACTGCCTCGGCGGCGTCCCACTCCTCCTCGTCTCGAATGAGCTTCATCAACTCCAGGAAGGTGGGCGCACAGCCTCGCTGACCCAGGAGCCTGAGCTTGCCCTGGAGGCCGGTGCTCAGGGAGGCCTGGGCTAGGATGTATTTCAGGCGAATCATGTCTGCGCTTCTCACTGACAAGGGGCTGTGCCGCACCGCGTTCTGCAGCACGGGCTCTAACCGTAGCAAGAAGGCAGAGACTTTCTCTCCGGGCTTCTGCGAGGTCTGGAAAAACTTAAAATGTGAGGTTCTATAGTCCTCTTTATTCCCGAAGATCTGCTTCAGGGCGTCCAGGCACTGTTCCACGGTCATGGAGTCACTGTTGGCCCGGAGCACCCGCATGATGGACAGGGCGGGGCCGTGCAAGCTTTCCAGCAAACGCCGCTGCTTCTCTACGTCAGACACCTGCCACATCTGCATCATCTCAGTCACCTGCTCTAGCCAGGCTTCAAAGTTCTCTTCGCCTGGGCCTGGGGAAGCGCTTCCCGAAAACACCTTCAGTTTTCGGTACCACATGCTTTCTTGCAGAGGCTGCAGGTCTGGTGGCCTGACTTGAGCCAAGCCTTTTGGCTGTACCTCGTCAGGGCGAGTGCTATACCCCAGGGTTTTGACCACATCTACCATTCTCCGGCCCTCGTCTTTCAGGAAGCACTTCAGTCTGTTGATAAGTTCATCATCTGGGCTACGGGGTTTCACCACCACTTCCCAGACACCTCCCTTTCCTGGGATCTGACTCGGCACCGTAGCGTAATTGACCCTGTCGGCCAATTCAATGAGAACTGCCTTAGAGCTGTCTTCCCTTCTGAACATTCTGCCCAGCACACTGTAGGCACACAGGGGCTGTAAGCCCGCCTTCAGGGTCTCTTTAATTTCCTCTTCACTACACTCCACAGGGATGCCCACGATCAGCAGGGCCTTCCTGGGGTCCAGGTCCATCCCCTTGCACCAATCCTCCAACAGATTCACAGGCATTGCTCCCACTATCTATGGACTGGTCTAATACTAGGGGCAGTAGTCAGCTCACAGAGTGTGACCGGCACTCAAGGAATTCTGAGTCAACGCCAAGTATGAAGGCAGAATCGTTCCGGGTTTGCACAGCCTATAATGCAAATGGGGTGGGGGCATCATTAACGCCCACCCTCCCGCCCCGACTAAAAGCCCACGCACTACCCCCACTTCTGGTCACAGAGATTCAGGCCCTGCTTTTCAGGGCTTCCCCAGTCATTTGCTGGAGAGGTGTCTTTAGGCCAAGCTCCCCTCCCTGCTGACCTCGGTTTGCCGTGCACTCCTCCTCAAAGTCCAAGGACTCTTCTGTGTGTGCTGCAGGTGCCTGTGGTGAAAAGGCCAGCGTCAGGAGGAGGGGCCTGACAAAGCCCGCCAAACGGGAGAGGACAGCAGGCTGTCCCACTCCCTGGCTCAGGGCTCTTCAGGCCCACGGCACCTGGTACCCACTTCTCTGGGGCAAAGGTTGGAGGACGGACACGTGCAGTTCCCTCCTTTCTCAGAAAATGTCTGACAAATGAGAAAGATGGCTGGAGCTCTGCACAAGGCAATGAAACTGGTGGCTGTGGAGAACGTGTGACAAGCTGCAGTGTTGCCGTGGATACTGAGAACAGCGTGGACCATGGGTTTCCATCGCAGAGGGGTGCTATGTGGTAAAGGTTAAGGAGCAACAGGGGATGTCACTGGCCTCCAACCAAAGAAGTGTCCTGTTGTCGCTGGAGGGGACGGGAGATGGGGGGTGGGCGGCAAGGATCAAGTGCTGGAAAACAGTAGCCTACCGTTTCAAACTGTGTGGAAGCTAGAATCAGGGACAGAAAAGGGACCCAAAAAGGGTCTACGGTGCCACGCTGCTGAAACAGGCAACTCTCGCCCTAGGTGTGACCCTACCCTGTAGACCCTGTGGACCTGGGCAGGCAACCCCGCCCCTCCTGCTTTTTGCAGGAAGTTACAGAAGCCTCTCCCAACGTAGGTCTACGTCACAGCTGTTCACCATGCTGATTAGGGACCCACCGGCAGTGCAGATACGGGCACTCCACCCACACTCAACACTAGGCCCGCCCTCTAGCTCTGCCCAGAGGCAGCTCCTGGTGCTGGGGAGGTGGTGCTGCTTCCCTGCATCTGTCCAAGGCAAGGCAGAGGTACTTTGCTATGGTTCTACCCCACACGGCCCTGCTCGGGCTGTGCCAATTCTGAACCTACAGAGGCACTCTGGTACAGGGATACACGCAACTGCTCAGGGGGCGGGGGGTGGGGTGATGAACTGGGCGATTGGGATTGACATGTATACACCGATGTGTATAAAATGGATGACTAATAAGAACCTGCTGTATAAGAAAATAAATAAAATTCAAAAATTCAAAAAAAAAAAAAAAGAAAGAAACTGCTCAGGTGGTATTCAGTGCTAGTACGGGAGGGATCCTACAGTATGATTATTGCCCCGCCCTCAAATCCACCCCCTCCCTCAAACTTTGCCCCCACTGACGCACGAAGTAGGCCTTAAGCCCCACCCCTGACGCCAAGCCTCCCGTCACGCAAGTTTGATCCCTGTCCCCCCTCCAAGTCCCACCCCCACCCAAGCGCCACCCCCACCT